TAGGGTGGTCACTTTGTATCATCAAGCGGTAACATATTACAACCTAAATGGTGGTTGCTTTTACCACGTGATTTTTTAGTGTAGTTCTTGTGTCGTGTATGTACATATGTATATATATTTGTTTGCACCCATGCATGGGAATTTCCGAAAATTAAATAAGCCTTGCCTGCCAATACAAAACACCCACCACGGTCGAAAATGTGGACTGGGTAAGTAAGTACGAGTGGGAGATAAAGTAGAGGAGCTGCTCGTCCTCGTGAATAGAAACTTTGAGGCTGAAAGGATTTCGATCTGTCGTATTTTGACAAAGAGGATCCAATCGACCTCATCTTATCCGCTCTCTCGTCCCATCCAATGTCCATCTCCAACAGACTTTCAATTTACTCTACTTTACTTTCGACTTGTGTGTGCCAGGCCCCGTTCTCAAGAAGAAAAAGAAGAAGAAGCCTTATCGCCCAGCGTATGCTTTTTGGTTGGTTTAGTTTAGTCGTCAAGACACAGTGGCCGCGGAAGCCGGGGGGGGACATGGGGGGGACATTAATATTGTAGGATGGGGGAGGGAGGGGTTTGTATATGATGAGCAGATGATGGGGACAACGAACAACCGTGGGGAATTTTGTCCCCACCCTTCCGCGGTCACTGGTCGTCCTCCTCTTTTTTAAGTAGGGACGTACATAGCTCTGCACTGGACGGGAGGAAGTTGCCATTGAATGAATGGTAAACGGAGTGGATGGAGGATGGCTGCGTGTTATGTAATCGTTGCTCACTCAGAGTTGCTTTGCGGAGATGGGTAATTTCAACTACTCGAGAATTCAATGGACAGACAAGATAAGAACATGTTCGATGACCATTCTTTCTTTTTTTGAGGAGAAATGTGTGATGTGAAGCAACTCTACTTGCCTTCTTTTGTCCGCTGGTGGTGCTGCGCGATTGTTATCTTTGGTGCGATCGGGTTGGTCAAGAGGCAACCGGGTTCTTTATTTCGGATCAATTTGGAAAATTTGAAGAAAAAAGTAGGGATTCGTTTGGTTTGCTATTTTTTGCACTGCAAAGGAAGAAATGTAAGAAATGTGAGGTGCAAGAAACTGTGAGAAAGGGTGTGAAATATGCGCCATCTTGCGAGATGGTGAATGAACTAGGATGTAGTTTTTTGCGTCTTGCATTTCTTGCAGGTCAAAATAGCTGCAAGAAACCACTTCTCTGCTGTTATTTCATGCAAGCAATATTTTGTTCCGGGTGTGCCACATTTCTTGCACTAGAAAGCAAAAAATGCAAGAAATGCGAGGTGCAAGAAACTGGGAGAAAGTGCAAGAAATATGCGCCATCTAGCCACCCGCCGTATGAAGTATAGTGGCGGGGCGTCGTTTCTGCGCCTTGCATTTCTTGCAGATCAAAATATTTCCCTGCAAAAAAAAACACTTTCTCCCCGTTATTTCTTCCAAGTCGTTACTTTCACCCGAAACTCTGTGAAAAATGAATTTTCCGTTAACCACAGTATTCATAAAACGTAATGAATATGCACTTCATTCGTACTATGAGAATCTTTCAACATCAATAAGATTTATTCCAATATTGACAAATAGAAAGTGTGTACTTTACAATCGAAAATATTTGAGGTGATTTGATTTTCCGTGAGAAATTTCCAGTCGTACGAAAATACGAATACATCCATCCATCCGTTCGTTTATTATCCTCGTTACAACCCACTCACCAAACATAATGAAACGTAATGGAATGTAAATGTGTGTATAAAGTTGAACTTTCACCAGAAACTCGCTCAAGTTGATCAATCGGTTTCATGAAAGGAGAAGTGAAGTGAAAGTGCACATAAATAAAATTCATGACCTCTTCTACACAACCCCGGCCCCATTCTTCCTCACTTCGAGTAGAGGTAAGCAACAATAGAAACGATAAGTGGAGAGTGAAGGATGATAAGATATTATGTGTGATAAAGATGCATGGTGATGATCTTATCTCAAATTCATGCACTTGTCAGCTTTCCATTGTACGATGCATGTCTTCGACAGATTCAATGTGTCAGTAACATGAAGAAAAATATGTCGTGGTAAGAGGATTTGGGGGATGAAGCGATTTGTAAAACTGACTTTCACTTTGAGATGAGAAATTGGTTAAGTTGTGATTCATTTGTCTGGCATTTTATTAAATGTTACAGTTTGATGAGTGTTTCGGGTGAAAGTAACGATTTGTAAGAAATAATAAGGGAAAGAAAGTGGTTTCTTGCAGGGATTTATTTTGACCTGAAAGAAATTCAAGGCGCAAGAAACTACGTCCCGCCGCGCGTAGTTCATACGGCGCGTGGCTAGATGGCGCATATTTTTTGCACTTTCTCCCAGTTTCTTGCACCCCGCTTTTCTTGCGTTTTATTACTTTTCAGTGCAAGAAATGAAGCAAACCGACAAGAAACGAAACCCTGAATTTGAGTTTGATATTTTGTAACGCATCGTGTCAAACATTTGCGCATGTTTTGGTTAAGATAAAATGTCAAGGTGTCCCGTATTGTGTGAACCTTTTCAGCCAGACAGGATCTAGTTAAGTAGCTGTAGCGATCGATTAAAATCGAGTTAATTACTCCCTTAATACACCTACATGCCTGCACACCTCTCCAATAAAGCCTCCAACTTCTTCTCCTCTATGCCTACCAGCTAGTTAACTAACACTCACCTTTCCCTCAACTTTAATACCTTCCTACGTACATACGTAGGAGTCAAACTGGTGGTAAAAGTTTCTCAAGTGACGACCCTTTCCAGCTAATCGGAGAAACACAGTCGCCTCTCGCTGCTATCCTGCTCTTCTTGGCAAAATCAACTCCTTCTCATCCACTTCCAATGTCTTTAGTTCATTCTTGGGCAACTTTTTTCCTTCTTTTCGAACTTAAGAAGAGTCTCCTCCTGCTGTATGGTGAGTACTGCGAAGTATGTGTGTACAAGCAGTGTTTCGTTTCTTGCGAATTTGCAGGATTTTTTTTTCACTGGAAAGCAAGAAATGCGGGGTGCAAGAAACTGGGAGAAAGTGCAAGAAATATGCGCCATCTAGCCACGCGCCGTATGAAGTATTGCGGCTGGGCGTAGCTTCTTGCTCCTTGAATTTCTTGCCGATTGAAATATTTACCTGCTAAAAACCACTTTCTCCCCATTATTTCTTGCAAGTGGTTACTACTTTCACCCGAAACACTGTGCACAACCTTTAGAAAAAGGTGGCGGTATAGAAAGGCGAGAGATCGCACTTAATGAGTAGGATGAGCGCGGATGATGATCCGAGAAGAAAGGGAACGCTGGAGAAATGTTTAAATCGATGCGGGATAAAAGGTGAAAGCTATTTACCAAGGTGTGACTTTGCCCTTCGTTTTGGAAGGAAATGGAATGAAAATATTATTCCTGCAGATTATTAGTCGTGTCATTACTACCACTCACTGTTTTTCCCTGTGAGGGGCAGGATTCTCCATAAAATGTGTGATAAGTCACTTATCAAGCTAGACTTATCATGGTGGTAAATCATTTTAACAAGGGCTGCTGCAAGTGCATAGTAAAAAACTAAACAGAATGCAGGAGTGTGAGAATACACGTGCTAAAAATAATACCGGATTTATGTCACGTAATTCCTTAAACTTTCTTTGACCTCCGGGTTTGCCCCATAAATCACTGGAATTGCCCATTAGCTTCATCTATTGCCTGATTTCAGATATAGATTTCTTAACTCGACGCGATGATTCCGTAGCTTCTTCACATCGTCATCTTCCCTGGCTGTGGAAGTGGTGGGGACATCGGGGGACATTAATATTGTAGGATAGGGGAGGGAAGGGTTTGTATAGCACTTGTAAACGAGGGGGACATTGAATACCCGTGGGGGCATTGAATATCCGTAGGGACATTGAATAACTTTGGGGACATTGAATACCCGTGGGGACATTGAATACCCGTGGGGACAATGAATACCCGTGGGGACATTGAATACCCGTGGGGACATTGAATACCCGTGGGGACATTGATTACCCATGGGGACATTGTCCCTCTGCCCCTTCTGCTCCCGCGGCCACTGTATCTCTTCACAATTGAAAATCTCTTAAGTGGCCTCGGAAGCCGTGGGGACATTAATATTGTAGGATAGAGGAGAAAGGATGGGTTTATATAAGATGGGGAGATGATGCGTACATCGAACAACCGTGGGGACATGGTCCCTCTCTCTTCCGCGGCCAATGGTCCCCTCTTCTTCCAACTTTCTCCTTTTATGATGTGCAGGCAGGCCTTGTGCAAGCGGGGCGAATCTGATGATGTCATTAAGTCCCTGTCCAAGTGAAAAGTGGGTCTTTGCTTGCACTTCCATCAATGGAATTGGCTATTAGAGAATATTACTTTGCTGCATTATGTGATGATACGTACGTACGTATTATATTAAGCAATCTAATAATAAATGTGCAGCCGTGGGGGGTGGTTTTTCAGGACGACGTGACACGGGCAAAATTATTGTGCATGTATTGTGTATGTATGCTTTTGTTATGCTTCCTACGCATGTATGTATTTATGTGCATATGTTTATGTAAAAAACAGCATGTCAAGTCAGGAAAAAGGCCTTTGTAAAGTTTTACATATTACGTAATATGAATCTAAAAATGAAAAGAGAGTAAATACATAATAGTGAGATTCATGAGAGGCTTCGTATATTTTGTAAACGTCGCATCTCTGCAGAAGCTTACGAAGTTTGTGAAAATTACGAATTTTTTAGGGGAAAATGCAATCTCGATGGAATCGAATCGAAACAACAATTTAATATCATTGGAAATAAGAATGCAGATTTTAAAAGAGATGAAAAGAATGCAAAATTTGTCCTTAATTTGAAATTAAGTAGGTCGCTCACAAGGACAATTTTACCTAAATTAACGAATTAGAGTTGCAAAGTAACGAAGGTCATGAATTTCTCGGATGCATATATTTATAAATATTTGTCGTTTTTTTTCACCTGCGTAAAATGTAAAACAATCAAAATTCGCTTTTGCACCATCATAGTTTATTGTTCCTTTGATGTACATACATATATAATTAATATTTGCTTACAGATAATATACATACATATAGATTTAAATATTGAATGATAAGCTAAATAATTGTTTCCCTGCTTTACAAAGAAGAAGAACCTGCATGTAGTTGGTTATAACCTGTAACGACATTTCTCAAGACTTCAGGGGGTGGATTACGTACGTAAGTAAGTGTTATTCTATAATTAACTGTGAAGGTATGTACATATGTATATCTTATATGTATTAATGCAGTGGCCGCGGAAGGGTGGGGACAGAGGGACAATGCCCCCACGGTTATTCGATGTCCCCATCATCTGTCCATCTTATATAAACCCCGGCCTCCCCTATCCTACAGTGTTAATGTCCCCAAATGTCCCCACGGCTTCCGCGGCCACTGCATTAATGTAGTATTTAATATAACCATTTGACGTTATAGGCTTAACTTTACTTCAAAGGTACGTACATTTCAGCAGTGGTGGTGAACTAAAGGGGTAAGTAATTACTTAATTAACTGCAAATGCCCGCCAGGCTGTTCTACATGCTAGACAAATTCAATTCAATTCACTGAGAGACAGACAATGGTTTCAAAAACCCCGACTTGGAAATAATATTATAGGTTAAATCACATTCGTATTAATTTAAGTCATTTAACTGCACATTAAGTAACATTTAATAATCTATGTTCAACTTGTTAGTTATGTAGCAATATTTAAAAGAATATTGTCTTCATCACGGCGACCACGAGCACACTAGGTAAATAGATTTAAAGGGGCGAAGTTTATTAACTAGCAGAGCTGGGCAAAATACTGAGTCAAAATAGAATATTTTGAGCTAAAGTTTTCCCAGGGTTTGTGTTTCCGGGGGTGTTACACCTAAAAAAAAGATGAGAATCTGCATGGAGAAAGTAACAATCTTACGAAAATACAGGTTTTGTGAAGAAATTAAAGTTTTTATCGCTGTGAAAATACATTGTTTTCACGATTTTTTAAAAATAAAGTATTTTGACACGGATAAAAAGTTAATTTCTTCACAAAACCCTGTATTTTCATAAAAATATTGCTTTCTCCACGTATATTTTCGTCTTTTTTGTGGGTATAACACCCCCAGAAATCCAAACCCTGGGAAAAACAGAGCTCAAAATACCCTATTTTCACCCAGTATTTTGCCCACCCCTGGAAATTAGTATTCTATATTTACACATTTATTTACATATACAAGAAACTACACAACCTTTTGCTCATCCTCTTTCAGGGCACTCAAAGACACACAAATTAATACACTTCTAACGCAGAGTGACGGCTAAATATCGGCTCAAATTGAATGTTAAATTGGGAACAAAGAAACCCGGCTGGAAATGAAGGAAGAAGAAAGAGATGCATGCATCTGATAAGGGGGAAAGCGGAGAGGTGTCAAAAGACGGGCTAAAAATAAAATGGACGAGAATAACCAAACCAAACCACACCCTTCTCAGAGTGAAAATGAAAACCTCAACAAAATAGTGCAGAAGAAGAAGATTTCTGAAAGTGAGTGTGCTGCGGTTATGTCAAAAACCTTGGGGAATATATATACACATACAATGTGGTGTTTAAAGTAGATTCAAAGTTCATTTTGAACGGTGGTGGAAATAGACTAGGAATAAGGAGGTGGTCCAGTGTATGCTTGAAGATTTTTGGGAAAAATCATGTGAATCGATGGCAAAATTAATTAGTATGAAATTTGGAAAAGACACGATCTCCCAATGGGCTTTCTCCTCTTAGGATGCAAATATCTCTGCCAAACGTGCCCATTGGGAGATCGTGTCTTTTCTAAGTTTCATACTAATTTATGACCGATTTTGGCTAAACTAATGTCAATCAACCATAAATTTAATTAGTATGAAATTTGCAAAAGACAAAAATGTGCAGGCTTCGCAAATATTTGCATCCAAATGGACGAAAACCCTCCTGAAATTTGGCAAATTTTACTCTTCCCATTGACACTAATTTTCCAAAATCTAAGAGCATACTACGCTGGGACACCTCCTCCATTCTGAGTTTGGTGGTTCAGTTCAGTTGTTGAGAAGACGAGGAAAAAGGAGGACTCGCCACCACACCACACCACAAACGCAGACAAAGAGATGAACATAAATCAGATGTGGGGAGAAAGCAAATGAAAGAAAGAAGACCCCTCGTGGCATCATCGCATCGCACTTTCACCACTTTCTCTCTCTCTCTCTCTGCTCAACCCTGCTTTATGTCTTTTTAGCTGACAGAGCAACATGCACTTCTGCGGATGCAAAGGAGAAGAAGAAGATGCCTTCACGTCCTCACTTTCACATTATTCACCTGTTTTCAATGTGCTCTGTGCTGGGAGGAATGTCTCTCCCCGCGAGGAAAGAAGGGTATCCATCCTCGGTCGGGTGGCGGACACCCTGCCTGAGCAACAATGTCAATTTATCCTCCAAGTAAGTAAGTAAATGACATGACTTGGAGATAGCTTCTCTTTTTTTTGGAATTCAATAAGGACATGACTGCATTTTTTACTGCATCGGTTCGTTCGGAATTATAAAGTGTTTCGAGGTGAAAGTAAGTAACCATTTACAAGAAATAACGGGAAGAAAGTGGTTTCTTGAAGATAGATATTTTGACGTGCAAGAAATGCAAGGCGCAAGAAAGTTCGCCCAGTCGCTATAATTCATACGGCGCGTGGCTAGATGGCGCATATTTCTTGCACTTTCTCCCAGTTTCTTGCACCTCGCATTTCCTGCGTTGCTTGCTTTGCAGTGCAAGAAATGTGCAAGAAACTAAACACTGGGTGCAAGAAACTGGTTACTTCAGCGACTTTGACCTGCGCGAAATGCAAGACGCAAAAAAATACTTTCCGTTCATACGGCGCGTTGGCTAGATGGCGCATATTTCTTGCACTTTCTCCCAGTTTCTTGCACCTTAATTTTCTCGCATTTCCTGCTTTGCGTTGCAAGAAATGTAGCAAACCGGTAAGAAACGAAACACTTATTATATAAATTTCTACTTGAATTATGTCACAAGAAGAAAAAAAGTTTGAAATTATTACAGTAAAGTAAACAAGATGGTGGGGCACACCGGAAATTACAAACTACCGCCGCAGTCGTACAGAAGATATCCATCTTACTTGACGAAAAGTACAGGTACGGCCATTTCGCTAAGCTTGTGCATGTCAAATTAAGCCATGCGATTTAGACCGGGGAGGAACTTTTACTTTTACTCAGGACTTGGTTAGTTTGCAGGAGGGAGTGAAGTGCGAGACAGGAAATGCGAAATGAAAATGAATATGCAAGAGAAACAGAGGAGACGCTGGGACAAAAAAAAGTAATTTTCACTTCGAAAACTAAACTTTTGCTCTTTTCACCCACTTTTCACCATTTTTATTTGCTCATCCCACGAAGAATATTCTGTTCTCTTCTTTTAAAGGCAAAATGCGGGCAGAATGGAGGTTTCTTAGTGGATGCTCTCCGATTTTGGGAAAACTAGTGTCAATATATTGCAAATTTGATTAGTTTGAAATTTGCAAAAGGCACAATCTACCAATGGGCACGTTTGGTTAAGATATTTGCATCCAAAGAGGAGAAAGTTGGCAAATAAAGTAATAAGTTCGCACTAAAGTTGGCAAATTTCATACTTTCTAAATTTACTGGGTGCTTTCTCCTCTTCGGATGCAAATATCTCTGCTAAACCTACCCATTGGGAAATCGTGTCTTTCGCAAATTTCATACTAATCAAATTTGCCACCGATTGACACAAGTTTCCTCAAAATCGGATAGCATCCACTAGAAGACCTCCCTTGTACCCGAAATTTTACCCATTTTTACATCATGTTGTTAATGTTGGGCACGAAGCCGAGTCATAATGTGTGTTTGCCACAGGGAAATATTGTTAAGACTCAGGAAAAAAAACTGGTAAAACATATGCAGAGAAAGTGAGAGACCCAGAGAGAAAGTGCAAGTAGGTAGGTAAACCCACGTAAACCGTGCTGCTGGGATTTATCCATGCACAGAACGTGGATTAAGGACGACGTGCATTGTTTGCTGTTTTGGCCCGTGTCTCAAAAAATGCAAAGTGCTGTCGTTATATGTACATTCCTGTTAGAGATGAGACGAACAGACAAGTTCGTGCCTTGCATAAGGAAAAAAGAGTGAAGTTTAAAAATAAATGTGCCACAGGGGACGTGGAAAACCATTAATTTTACGAGAAATAAGGTGCAAATTAATCAACTCTCTAAAGCCGTGTGTGTCTTATCTGGTTTTGTGCCTTATCAAAATCATCAAACTTTCTCCAAAAATTCGGGTCACCAACTGACACCTTTTTTTTAAAATTCTAAACAGTTATAAAGTATTTCCCTACGGATCGTATACTGCATGCACATCCATTCATGACTACAAAAAACCCTTTAAAAATTTCGATTTAGAAAATTTAAAATTTGTTTTCTGTCAGCTAAAAGTTTTTTTTTTACACTGCATGATTAGTTTTACATATAAACATTTACTTAATTACATATTCGCCATCACCTTTCCCCTTGCTTTCTGAGAGTTGAGAGATAAGCTTATCACACAGTCTCGACCGGGGCGAAAGGCTGACCCTTGTCCCCACTTTGGTAATACTTTCTCTGGGGTGGGGTCATAATAATGTGAGTGGCGGGATGATCCTGCCGGGGAGCTGGCGGGTGCTGGGATTTGCTGACCGGCGTGGGATTTACGGGGTGATGCATCGGTGACGGGTTGGCCGTCGGGGAAGGGTCATGTTCCCCCATTTCGAGGTCTTCATAAGGGCACCCGCTGCAAGGATTTTGTTGGAATTCTGCCTCCCGGCTTTCTTCATGGTCTCGGATCAGGTGGTGGTGGTGGTGGTGACAGTAGTGCGGGTGTGAATATGAAGCCTGGCCGGTACAGGGTTCACGACTGGATTCGACAACAAGGGCACTTTCAAGGTCGATATCCTCATCCATATTGGTCAGAGAGGAGGACCGCGTCGGGGGCACGAGGGGGAGGTAGTACAGAAGGCAGGAGACGGAGACCAGGAAGAGAAAGAATATGAAAATAGCGTCGAAGAGGAGAAGCGCGTTTAACGCGAGGAGTTGCATTTTGTGGAGAAAGTGGAGAAAGAGAAAAAGAGTATTCAAATTGGGGGATAAGTCCACCAACAAATTTTATAACGATAAATTTGTAGGTCAAACTTTACTTTCTCCAGAGGTGAAAGTATATTTGGGTCACTGCTAAAAATACGCCGCGTCAATAATGAGGAGAAGAGACCTCGAATGAATCGTGTAAATGTCAAAAGTTGGAAATCCACACAAATCCTGAGTGAGTAGGTGGGAAAATAGCGCAGAATTAAAAATGGAGTGAAGAGTGAAAGTCTTCTTCCTTGAGATTACACTTGAATGTGGCTGTCTGCAGATATGTAGCTCCTCCTCGTCGTCTTCTTGTGCAGACGGAGAAAGTGGATTGTTACACAGTTCTTCGTCTGATATTCAGCAATTGGAGACCGATTTCCCGTTAACTTTCACTCTATTATTCTCTCCAAACATCAAATTCACATCAAACCACTTCACTTTCTCTTGACTGTTAAATTAAATATCCGCTTTTATGAGATCCCCCACTCACTTCCTCTCGGCTCCTATCTTCAACTTTGAGTTCCGTCGGCCCGGCGCAAAACTGCAGTTTTATATTTCACTTAGCTCCGTCTTCTTCTTAACGAGTGGATAGAAAATTTCGAAAAATATCTCGGAGAAAGTACGGGTTTATCTCGAATTTATTTATACAGCGTAAAAAAACTGCAAGTGTCAATTATTCCGCGTTCGAAAGAGAAAATCAAACAGTTTCAGGCCTGATCCACCTTCTTCTTTACTGTATTTTTTTTCAAGTAGAGAGGACGAATAGTTATGAAACCTAGTACTTTTATCCCGGCTGAAAGTGTCTCTTTCCCGTCCCCAGAAGGGAATCAGTCAATTAAAGTATGCACGAATTCCATTGAAGAGTAAAGAGCAGAGCAGAGCACTAAGCAAACACTTTTTTCCCTTGCTTTCTCCTCCTTTCTGGTGAAAGTTCGTCGTTCTATATCAGAGCTCAAGCAAACTTGGCCGCTGCTATGAATGTGATGTGAGTGAGTTTGCTTTACTGATGCTGCCCGCCTGTATGTATCGAGTTTTTTTTTCTCTTTTTTCAGCTAAGAATCCGACGGTGACAAATTTTGAAATTGAATTGCGAACTGGTGAGTGCTGCTGAATTTGGTTGTGCCGACGTCCTCTCGTAGAAGATAGAAGATTGCACAATCAATACGCTTGGTGGCTGTATGGATGAGATGCGATCTGATGGAATGGATTGGGAGAGAGAGAGAGAAAGCTGAATTGTGATTTTGGTATCTGACTTTCTCCTCTGACTTGGCTTCCACTAAATGTTAATGCTAACACGGTTTGGTTGAATGAATTGGTTTGACTCTTGGTTGACAGCTTTGACTACTCTTTCCCCCCGGACTCTGAGGAGAAGGAGGGTCCTCCTTTCATTAATGAGCAGAGAGTGAAAGTACCTTAAGTAAGAGTAACGAACTGAACGTTTCACTTCACTAAACTGTCGCTTGGGATTTAATTCCAAATTTGAATTCAATTCTGCTCCTCTGAGTTAAACACTTAAATCAAGATGAAGATTCTGACTTGGGTAAGATTCTTCCAAGAAGTGAAAGTTTGAGAAAGTTGGGGTTAATTGATGGGTTAAATTAGTTCGATGAAGATCAATTGAAAGTCGGGGGAGGCAATTAGATGGGGAAAGTTGCTTGTTGTTGGAATTTTGACGAAATGACAGTACTCAGAGTCACAGTTAAATTTGTGGCGAGTGAAATTCCGGTGAGATCGAATTAGTGGTTTGTGTTGGTTCGTATCGACTGTTCACTCACGAACGAAACGTGGAATGCGGGTGGTGGGTGAATCGTTGCAAATGAAATTATGGGTAAGATGCAGGCTTGGGAATATTTCGTGTTATGTGGATATCTAAATTAATTGCGGACGAGTGGATGGCTGGCTGGTTTTCGGGGAAAGTTGATAATTGCTGGGGTGCAGTTGAGAAGATAATGAGGATCACGGAGTTAATGTCACGTCTTCGGCTGGAAAGGTAAATTATGCCGGTATGAGTTTAACTGTTATTTCATTACGTGTGAGGAAAGTTGAATTATTATTAGTAACAAAGTTATGCAACAAAAGGTTAATTAGGTAAGTTTGGATATGTAATAAATGGCCAATTATTACCTGAACGTGTCACTAGGTTGGCCAAAGTTATGTAAGGATTCGGACTTGAAGTCGTTACGAAATTCTGAAATGGAATAAGCAAACCAGACTGATTAGTGACAGTGTTATTAATGGCATAATGTGGACAAACCGATATATCGATGACGCAACACATGACACAAATATGGACAAATAAATATATTTTTGATACAAAATGGACAAAAATATGGACAAATAAATATATTTCTGATACAAAATGGACAAAAATATGGACAAATAAATATATTGTTGATACAAAATGGACAAAAATATGGACAAACAAATATATTGTTGATACAACATGGACAAATAAATATATTTCTGATACAAAATGGACAAAAATATGGACAAACAAATATATTGTTGATACAAAATGGACAAAAATATGGACACATTAATTTATTTTTGATATAAAATGGACAAAAATATGGACATAAATATATTTTTCAGACAAACTAAATCCTTTTTGTCCGTATTTTACCTAGTGGCCCAGGAACTAAGTAATTTCGCACATTTCAACGTCAATAAACGGGCAGGAAAAAGACAATGGACGGAAAAGTCACATGAAATTATTCGCTATTAAAGAAAGGCAAATATCACAACAATAGAAATTCCCAAGTAACAAATAACTTCCATTTGCGAAATGAATCTATGCATGTACATAACAAACTTGACGTTGGAGTTTACCACACTATTCGTCTAAAACGGTGGCTGTTCCATATCTCTCTTTCTCTCTTTAGTAGATATTTTCTTAGCTGCAAAATTCCTCATTGTGGTTGAAGAAAGCATAACTCGAGATATTTGAAATATTCTGTCTGTCGCGTTTCAAAGAGAGAGATGGAGATAGCGAGTTAGACAGCAACTAATTGCGGGTTTCGAGAATACAGAGACCTGCTCCACTTTACTTTGTTCTTTGTACGTACACCAGTGGCCGCGGAAACTGTGAGGACAAGGGGGCACATTAACATTGTAGGATAGGAGAGGGACGGGTTTGTATCAGATGGGGAGATGATGTGGACATGGAATAACTGTGGGGACATTGTCCCTCTATCTTGTCCCCACGCTTCCGCCGCCAGTGTTCTTTTAGTATTATAGTCACTATGGGGTATGTACATACAGTGGCCGCGGAAGCTGTGGGGACATTAGCATTGTAGGATAGGGGAGGGAGGGGTTTATATAAGATGGGGAGATAATGTGGACATCGAATAACCGTGGGGACATTGTCCCTCTCCCTTGTCCCCACGCTTCCGCGGCCACTGTTCTTTTCGTATTATCATCACTATGGGCCATGTACATACAGTGGCCGCGGAAGCTGTGGTGACATCTGGGGACATTGCAATTGTAGGATGGGGAAGTTACACAACATGGACAAATGATTGGGACATATCGAATAACCGTGGGACATTGTCCCTCTGTCCCCACCCTTCCGCGGCCACTGGTGCGTAGGTTATGCTATGCTATGCTCCCAGCTTTCCCTTGTTGTTTGAATTCATTTCCGTCAGAAGACCCATTTCCATTCAACACTTGTTTCTCGTGCAGTGTGGATGGAAGGCTAATTCCGACAACCACTTGTAAATTTGCTACGCCATGCAATCAGTTAATGAATTGCAGCGCAGCTCTCCGACTTTGTACGTACAATGATTTCAATCAGCTTTCGGACTTGTTATCATGTTCCATTTGAGAATGAATAAATATTTCGCCACAGAGAGGAACTCATCTGCATGTATGATTAGAAGACTTGCAGTTGTAAGTTGCAGTTGTGCTAATTTCGCAAAACATTTGGCGAAATTCTGTCTAACAGAGAGTTTTGGAGGGTGTGCAAATTTTGGTCTTGAATTTTATTGTTGTAGAAAATGGGATATATTAATTTTGTAGATTTTTTTTGCGAAAATTTGGCCAAACCTTATCAAACAAAAAACAATGTTCTTTAGGTTGCACATTGTGCAAATTTTGGCCTTTAATTTTACTGGACTGTAAAATATGGGGTGTTTTAATTTTGTAGATTTTTTTTGCGAAAATTTGGCGAAACCTTGCCAAACAATGTTCTTTAGGTTGCACATTGTGCAGATTTTGACCTTGAATTTTCCTGGATTGCACAAAAATGGGGTTTAATTTTGTAGAATTTGTAACGTTATTTAATATGCAATTCGAGTATGTAAAATGTGTCTCAACAAGTCTCCAGGTTAAGATAAAATCATGAGCTGCTGCAATTTTAGCAACAATTTGAACAAACCCTACGTACCATAAAGTTCTTGAGGGTACACAATGTGCAACTTTTTACTGGATTGCACAAAAATGGTATTCTTTAATTTTGTCAAATTTTGTTTAGCGCAGTTAATAAAATATATGTGCAATTCAAGTAAAATCCGTCTCCAGGTTGGGATAAAATCCAGATCCATTGCAATTTTTTTGGCACTTAAAAAAATTCACGAATTCAATCCATTACGTAATGTAGCTCTCAAAGCAAGCTTTGAATTTCTCCAGGGTACATTTTTTCAATGAAAAATGCCAATTTCTCGAAAAGCGCAAATTACTTTAAAATTACACGAAAGTAAACTTGTCAATTAGCATATTGGCAATTCATTCTGATACAGAGGCGGACTTGCTAAAAGTTGAAAACGGATCGACGACCAGTGGCCGCGGAAGCCGTGGGGACATTAACATTGTGGGATAAGGGAGGAGGGGTTTATATAAGATGGGGAGATGATGAGGACATCGTATAACCGTGGGGACATTGTCCCTCTGTCCGCACCCTTCCGCGGCCACTGAGCTCAAGTCTCAAAACCAATACAACACAACGGAAAGTTTATTTTGTTCAGATTCTCGAGTTTCATTTCATTTCACCGAATTTCACATAAAGATCGTGGTTTCCAGTGTTTCGGGTGAAAGTAAGTAACCACTTGCAAGAAATAACGGGAAGAAAGTGGTTTCTTGCAGGTGAATATTGTGACCTGGGAGAAATGCAAGGTGCAAGAAACTACACCCAACTGCCAGACGGCGTGTGGCTGGATGACGAATATTTCTTGCAAGACGTAAGAAACACCTTCCCGCTGCTAGACTTCGGCTAGATTTAGCATATTTCTTGCACTTTCTCCCAGTTTCTTGCACCTCGCATTTCTTGCGTTTCTTGAGTTTTAGTGCAAAAAAATGTAGCAAACCCGCAAAAAAGAAACATTGAGTGCAAGAAAGTGGTTTCTTGGTGGTCAGATGGCGTTTATTACTTGCACTTTCTCCCAGTTTCTTGCACCTCCCACTTCTAATCCTGCATCTCAAGAAATGTAACAAACCCGCCCGAAACGAAACACTACAGATCGCGGTTTGACATCTTCTGCTTCTTGCTTTCTTCGCAATACGTGCCAGATTTACTCCGCGGTGAGGCTTTTATTGAGCTGGCTGGCAAGCAGACGGCTCTTTCTTCCCCGGTCGGGTGGATTCCTACCTTTGCTAACTTATCATTCCCTGAGATTGACAACTCTGTCACAGACTGTCAAACACAGGAAACCAGACGTAAGTAGATGGCTGGGTGGGTGTTGAACAAGACTTATTACATGGGGAAATAGAATACAGATATATTTGCGGCGGTGAAGTTGACATACTATTTACACAAAGTTCGTAACATAATAATCAGACCGAATTAAATTTTGTTGTTATTGTCGTAGCAAGTCAAGTTTATCAACAAATTGGGTAATTCCATCTGAGAAATGTCGGCGTGATAAAGAAAAACTTAACAAATCGGTTTTTAAAACTGCAACATGTCAGGATTTTGAGAGACTTTCACCAACTACATATACCGACATATATCTCTTAGAAAACTGGTACTAAATCATTACTGACCTGTGTGCATATATGACTCTACCTACCAGTACTGGTAGTAACGGGAATTACCGTTTAGTAATGATGTAATACTTAAAAATTTAATACCAATTGGGTAGGAATTTTTTTACCAAACCGATACCAGTACGGGGTGTACATGTGAATCTACCAGATCTTTAATAATGCATAGGAGAACAGAAGTGATGGTGAAGTTGACAAACTAAGTTCATAAAGTACGCATAACATAATAATCAGACTGAATTTAATTTTGTTATTGTTGTAGCAAGTCAACCTCGTCAACAAATTGGATAATTCCATCTACTACACAAAGAAAAACAAATCGCTGTTTACGCGTGAAATGTGTCCCGATTTTGTGAGATGCGACCAACTTTCACCAACTATTTTTGACAATATACTCAAAAAACGTTACCAGTTTCACAAGCACAATTTCTTTCCATGGCTGACTTTAAGTGGACGGAAGGGCACGTAGAAAGACACCGCGACATCGTTACAGAATGTTTGTAACATTTGTAATTTTATTACCTCAGGGAAATTCAGACAATGAGTTGTACATAGTAAAAAAAACAGGAAATACGTAAATGGAATTGAGAAGACGACTTTATTAAGTAGCTTCAGCTACTTTATGCGAAGACTTTCTGTCTGTCTGTCTGTCTGTCTGTCTGTCAGCAGGATAACGGGAGAACGGATCGAGATAATCCAAATCGGTTTTCGCCATCATACATAGGACCCCAGGGGGAGGATCCTATCAACTTTTGGGGTCAACCGGACCACCCCCCTGGCGCCAGGGGGTGTGGTCGGGGCAAAATGAGATTTTTAGTGCAATTTGGTCTATAGATGAAATAGAGTGAAATTAAGTTGTCCCGAATTGTGCCACACCTCCTCGTCGCCAGTGGGTGTGGTTGGGGCAAAATGAGATTTTTACAAAAATTGAATGTATAGATGAAATACAGCGAAATCGAGTGTTCCCGAGATGTCGTGGGAGTGGTTGGGGTGAAGTAGTCTGAAGCTACTTCCTTATGTGCGTTACCCACGGTTTATTTTCGATCTTCTCGTCCGAACCTTGTTCTTTTGTACGAAAGACAAGTGTACTATTTTAAATTATAATTGTTTCCGTCCAAAACAGGTTAATCTGATTGAGAGCGAGAGGGAGAGAGGGTTCAATCCCTAGAGCACCGTTTGTGCAGAGGTATGATGACCCCTGAATGTTGCAGG